AAATTGAAAGTTTGGATAAAGAATATAAAATAAAATAAAATAGAACTATGAAAAAATCAAAGAAGTTACTTTTAAAAAACAGAATTTTCAAGCACAGGGTATAAGAGATTTAAATTGGAGAATAATCTTGGAGATGGAAGAAATAATGAAAAGGTGGTATGAATATGGAAAGGAATTATTCCAAGGTGACAGGGAGAAGATTGAATCTCCCAGGAAGTTAGAAGGCCATTGGTACTTACTCAAATGGGAAGTTGTAAAAGCCATTGATAAACTTAAACCCAGTAAGACTGCTGGCCCAGACAATATAGATCCAAAATGGATCAAAGTTCTAGCTAAGTTATGCAATGACATCTACGAACTGGGATACCTTCCTGAAGACTTCAAACAGTCTATATTTGTTCCAATCCCCAAAAAACCAAAAGCAAATAAGTGTGAGGATTTTAGAACCATAAGCCTAATTAGTCATGTGGCAAAGATTCTAACTTTTATCTTGTTAAATAGAAACAAAGGATGTAAGGAACCAAGTCTGAGCATTATTTTTATGTTACCTTTTATTCTATTTTTGTTTGGGGCTTATATTTTGTTAGGACAAAGGTTTCCTCACCACTCACCTTAGAAACTTAAAAAATAGAAGAGAAACCAACTCACCGACGAGAGAAAAGCACTGTAGAAAAAACTCGCGCTCCCGAGCGAAAAAATGTAAGTCCGCACCGAGAAAAGGGGGGAGACCCCACAAGACTTTAAGGTTTAGCAAGAACTTGCTAAACCTTAAAGAATAAAACATTCCGAGAATTGTCAAAAAGAATAATGTAAAAGGTTAGTGAGTATTGTCAGAAAATAGGCTGCCAGGCAAACAGGAAAAGTTTATTGTTAGCAATAAGTATGTAAATGAGGGGAGTGATCTCACTCAGAATTGTGATGTCACCTCACAGTATAAAGACTGAACCTCAAGTGAAGATGACCGAGGTGAGCTTCTGTTAGCAACCAGTGTGGTGAGCTTCGTATCAGCAAACGAGAGAGAGGTGTCCCATAGGATAAAGTAGTTCAAGGCGATTTTGAAGTTATTCGATTTGTGGATTGAAGATTAGAGAAAGTCTTGAGAGTTGAGGAAAAAGGTTCCTAGTATATTGAGGTGATGATTAGGATCTTTAATTCATAAGAATTATTGTACATAAGTTAAGTCTTTGAATTTTTTGTCGAATTCCAAAGGGGAATAGTTAAGTTAGAAAATAAATTGGTTTGAGTTTTGTCAGGTTGTGTGATTCTTATTGATTTATGTTGAATAAATTGTTATTTGATTTTAATTAAATTTTATATACAGTTATTACTAGAATTTTTATTAAATATTGGATTGTTTTTGACTAACTTTGTCATTATTTAATTTGGTGTACGCTTAAAGTCCAGGCCTGGCACGTTCACGCGAATCCGCGTAAAGTACCCGTTAGGTAACAGCTATTTCTGGCACACAGTCGTGTCGATAATCGTTGGAAAAGTCGGAAAAATAATAAAAATCTTTTTATAGTACTTTACAAGGAAGATAGACTGAAGGCATAAGTGAAACACAGTGGTTTCTAAGAGAATAGAGGAACAATAGAAGGTATTTTCAATCTGAAAACTATTATTGAAAGATATAGATAAGGAAAAACAGAAAAATATTTATGTTTTTTTTTAGACTATACAAAGGCATTTGATAACGTGAAACATGATTTTGTTATTAAATGCCTATTAGAAAACAGTATGGATGGAAAGGATGTCAGATTACTTACCAATTTATACTGGGAACAAAGAGCTGCAATAACGATTGGCAAAGAATTGTCACAAAGCTTCCCAATATAAAAACGAGTAAGGCAGAGTTGTGTGCTGTCTCCAATTTTGTTCAATCTTTAACCTGACTGAAAATTCTTTCTGTATAATGATCTAAAAGGAGTGAACATAGAGAGCAGAAATTTCAATAATCTTAGGTATGCTGATGACACTGTGCTATTAGCAGAAAATGAATGGGATCTAATGATGCTGATAGAGAGGAAATATCAAAATTGAGCAATCAATTTAGACTAACACTTAACTGCAAAAAGACCAAAACTGGTCATTTCCAATGAGAAAGAAACTCTAAGGGTAAACATTAAAATCAGAAACAGTAAACTGAAGCAGGTCAAAAGTTATGTCTATCTGGGACATAACATTACAGATGATGGAAGGAATGATGAGGAAATTGGAAGAAGGATTGGCATTGCAAGGACTGCATTTACAAACATGAAACAAGTGTTAACATCAAGGGAGATTAGTATACAAACAAGAGTTAGGTTGGCAAAATGTTATGTATGGTCGACCCTGCTTTATGGAGCAGAGAGTTGCACTATGAATGCAAATAATGAAAAGAAATTAAAAGCATTTGAAATATGGATGATTCAAAGAATGCTGAGAGTTCCTTTGAGGTCAAGAAAAACAAATGAAGATATCCTGGCAACTGCAAATCAGAAAAGAACCTTTCAGAAAATCAACCTTACTACTTTCAGAAAAGAACCTTACTACTAAGGGGAAAAAAGTGAATTATCTGGGTCTTGTAACTGCAGCACCAAAGCCTACAAAAACTATTACTGGAGAGAATGATTGAAGGGCAAAGAGGCAGGGGTAGGCCAAGAATGAACTGGTTCAACAACATCAGGAATTGGACATACTTAATGTATGAAGAGTGCTCAAGAGAAGCACAAGATAGATCATGGTGATGTGAAATGGTCATCAACCTCCTGACAGGAGAAGACAGCTAAAGAAGAAGAAGAAAACTATTAAGAACTTTTATGTGTGTCTTAGTGCTGCCATCACTTCTAATAAACATATATTTAAAATTAGTTTTCGTTTATGAGAAAAAATTAAAACGTGATGCCACTTTACTTAAGGGTTATTAATATTGTTCTTTGTTACATAAAGTGAATGGCCTGAAGCAAGAATATTCTGACTATACTATTAAATCATTAAACAGCTACTGCCACTTAGTGTGCATGTCTGAGTGAAGAAAAGAAAATGACATTCACACTGAGTTCAACTACAGTTGATGAGCAGAAGGATGTGATTTATTTCCTATGGATAACCAGGTAAGATACTGTCAGACATTTGTGCAAAATGGTGAAGATTGTCTGGATGTCTCCAATGTCCATAGATGGCACAAAATGTGCAAAAGTTGGCAATCTATGATGAATGAGCTTAGTTTTAGCACCCATTAAGTACCTCTATACTAGGAAAAGTTGTTGCAGCCGAAGATGCTAAAACACACTATTCACCTGAAGTTACCATCCAAATGGTTTGACATATGACATTTCTGTACCATAGCTTTCCATTCATAAAGTTAGCATTTGTGTCCAGGTAACTGACAGAAATGCAACTGCTTCAGGATGGTGACATGCTTAAGTCGTTTGGAACAATATCACTGAGAAGAGAATCAATTCATTGAAAGCATCACCATTGCACATGAGTCATGGATGATGCTGATGTTCAAAGCAATGGTATAAAACTGGCTTTATTTGCAAGAAATAGTATTCTACAGATCCAGAATGTTTAACCTCATCACACACTGGGACAAGTGCTTGAAGGAGTATGGTTCCTATGCAGCACTCATATTACATATAACTTCTCAATTTTTTTAAAATGTGAAAACACTCAGTAATCCAGCACCATTCTGGTTCATAGATGCCAGATTAACAAACATCTACTGCATATAGGCAGCTTTAATAATATAAATGTAATCATTTTTATGAACAATTGCACACTAATGAGAATGCAGATAAACTGAGTTTTCATTTGGTTTATTGTGAAAAGTCCAAGTTGCTGTCACAAATTATAAATTTGATTTAAATTATTATAAGTAGAACTCTTTTGTATTAATTAACATAAACATTAAACTTAGACATTAAATTTATTTAACATCACATTTTACATAATTTTTTTATGAAATGAATAAAATAACTTATGTATAAATTTTCCTTCCCCCATTATACATTACTTATCTAAAAATTAATACTATGTACAATAAAACTGGTTTTTTTTTCACTAAATATCTAAATAATCCCAGTGACATGATTTTCAATTAAACTACTGATTGATATATATATATATATATAGATATATACAAAATGAAAGTAATCTTGTAAAACAAAGATATCGTCTGTTGACAAAAAATATAAATCTTTGGTTTGTGAAAGTTGTAATTTTTGATTTTTTCAACATCAACCGTCAAACGAACGGATAAAGAGAATCAAATAAATATAACATTCCATTCATTTAACTGTTTGGTACAAAAAAAAATTGTAAAACAAATAACCCAGAAAAAGTACCAATCATTGTTTTTTCAATTAGAATTGAAATTAAAACAAAAAAAAAAAATATGCCTTAAAATGAAAGTAAATACAGTGCTTTCTTTTTGTGCAAATAACAACAGTGAGAAGGTAGATAGATCTCTGAGTAAATAAATAAAAATTGCAAATATTAAAATTTTGGCAAGTTTTATCATGAGCATGTAATAAAATTTTAGTACAGAAATATATTCATTATATAAGATAGTGATTATTCTGATTTGCATTAATGCATGCACAGAATGCATGGTCCATTATGCTGCTCTTCAGACTTTAAAAAAATCTCCTAGAACTACAATATGAACACTTGAAGCAACTAACAATTCCATTTTTATAAATAACAAAATACACTGTCATAGCATCAATTACATATTTATTTGTTTCAGCCAAATACTTTATATGTAATGTTTCCTTATAAATTTCAAATTTTGAGTTAAAAAATTTTTTAGTGTTGCTTTATCATATTGTAATTTAAATTCTGTTATGCAGAATCTATAACAGAGCAACAAGTTAGATTGTAAATGTTATAATAAATGCTTTATGTTTTGGTGCCATTCTATAAAATAAAAAAATCTCTGAAAACATAAATAATACATTCTGTTGAAGCTGCACCAAGAATATATATATATGATACATATATATGTGAAGTTACTAATTTTTAATAATTAGCAGCAGTAATAAATGTTTTATTGAAATAAATTGTACTTTCATTTGGTGTCATTTTATATTTGATTATGAAAACAGAGATCATTTTAAATTAACCCACTTGTACTAATTTTCATGCTATAGACATTTTTGTTTTTCCGACGTTTGATATCGATCATTCGCTTTCCTTTTCCGAATCGACTACGGCAGATTCCGAATTGTGATTGTTATCCACGCTGAGAAAAGCCTTGAAAGTTGCCGCAGAACTATAAGTATCGATGCTACTCTTTAAATCGGACAGAGAATCTTCAATCTGTAAATAATTAAGTCGTCACACTTTTTATTGATATAAACAACAAATCGTAAATAAGATATAAATAAAATTTTATGTCTTACAAGATGTATTAATTTAATTATTTCTCCCAGAGCATCTTGCCATCTCTTTGTTTCCGCCCTATGAATTGCATCTTGCTGACGAAGTAATTTAATGAAATCTTGCTGCTTCAGTGGTGTCTGACTATTAAAATTCAAGAAAGTCTTTTAAAATATAGGACATAGCTGCTTAATTTAAAAAGAACAAATGCTTACTTATCAACTGGAAGGTCTAACCATTCGGCATTGCTATTTGAAAGAGCAATGCTCTGATCTTCTAATGACCATAATTTATAGAACAAGAGAACATTTAAAAGTACTAAAACTACTAGCCTAAAAATAAAAAAAAGTAAATATTAAATACACAGTATATATGTACATATGTATGTATATTAGTCAATACATTTTTAAATAAATCACAAATGCCATACTTACGTAATTAGTATAACTCTGACAACAAAATCTGGTGTAGAACTTAGCATACCTATATCAAGGCCAGATATACTTGAAGCTACAAATGATAAAAATTCAGTAGTTAAACTGGAGTAAAATTTTTTTCTGTGATGATAATGACTACAAAAATTGCTAATAGAAAACTTTATATTACTTTAAATCTAAATTTTACTACTAAAATTACACATTTACTGCTTTTCATCTAGAAATATACATCAATATTAAAAAATTATTCTTGGTACACAAATTCTAGTATTAATTTTGTAACAGAAAAGTTGACAAGGACTCTTTGTCAACTTTCCCAGTACTCAAACGAGAAGTTAACAGGACAATTAAAGTTGAATAATTTTCAATATACTACAATATAAAATTTAAATACAAACAAAAGTTTAAGAGAAGTAAGTTTGTTAAATTATAAGAAATTTCTCTATTTAAAAAATATATAAGTTTAAAAAACACCAATGTCATGGTGTTTTTTAAAGATTAGGTTAGGACAACACAAGGTTAAAATTGTATGTTATGAGATTTTATAAAAAATATTTTTATGTTGTAATAATTATTATGAAAAGGCAATTGTTTAATTTTAAGCGTAGAGTTGATTTTATAAAAAAATTGTAAATGTCAATAATGAGTAAAATTTTTATTAAGTCTGACCCAACTCAAGATACAACATATGACCCCCTTATTTCTTCCAACCATCAAAATTTCTCATCATCAATGCCCCATATATAGAAATTTTCATGCAGTTTCAAAAGTTCACTCAGTCCTGGGATATAATGAAAAACAGATGGCCCTATGTATACACAAATTCTTTTTTGGTAAAAGTAATTTTTACATTTTTGGGTCTTTGAATGTCTAAACATCAGTAAATGCAAAAAGAGCCAAGGAAGGTCAATACCACTGACCATACATCATACTTTCCCTATGTTATATTCCTATAACAGCTGGGAAAACAAAATATAGGATAATCAATAATACATAAAGATTGCAAATACTTGTACATATTTCTTAAAAACTGTTAACTTGCAAAGGTTTAGTCATATTTATCAAAATTCATCATTAATGAATCAATAATAGACAATTACAACAACATGGTTTTCAATGATAGAATAAGTTAAAAAAAAATAAAGAAATAAATTTGTATTTATTATTTAGTGATGGAAAATCATGTTTAGAAAAATTATGAAGTAAAATAATAGTTGTTTGGTGATGGTAATATGTGTTAAGACTAAGTGATGATTTAATTATTTTAAAGTGTGAGATCTATGGTTATCTTAATCGTAGCAAAACATTTTTGATACTATTAGAAAGGTCTTGAAGAGTGCTTTCCATTGATGATATAAATTCATAGGAGTGCAATTTAAAATGAGAGAGAAAATACATGTTTTTTTATTTTTTTTCCAAAAAAACCTTGGAGTTCTCAATGGCACTAGAAGATAGCTCATCAGAAAAGCCTTAAAACAAAACCTGAACAAACTTTAAATTAAGCAGACTTAATGTTCCATTTATTCTTGAACATAATGTATATACCATTCCAGGAGAAAACAATTCTGGAACTGAAAAAGAATAAGTAAATATTCTTTTAAGTATATCCTATACAGAAGCATAACGCTTGAGGGAAGTTAGGATGAAGGTTTTGGAGTTCAGAAGGAACTCCAAAATTTCATTGAAAGTTGTAATAAATAATCTTTCTTCTTAAAGAATAGTTTCATATTTTAACTAAAATTGATCATTGGTTGTCATTTACTAGTGACTACCATTGATTTTAGTCTACTCTAGTCAAGAAACAAAATGGTGATATACTCCAAGAGCTAACATCCCTACAGCTAAAGCAGTCAACATCAGATTCCCATGCCCTTTCCCTGACTTCTCTATGAATAGTTTTGTTCAAGCTAAATTCAAAATCATCACTTGTAAATTCTGTATAGATTATGATTCTTCTGTGTAAATAAACAATTCTGTGTATAAAGTTGCAGCTTTTATAAGCATATATATATATGAATCTAACAACTTCAGAAAAGTTTGCACTTTAACACTACAACTAGAGTTTTATTTTTATTTCTTGTTAAAATTAAATATTTCATTTTAATTTTCAAGTATTTTAAGTTATCCTTTATCTAAAATACTGATGTACAGATTCAAATTATCTAAAAGTTAACCTTAAACAATACCTATTTTGTGAATGGAAGCTTGTTGTTGCAGTTTATGTGGGACATCAGCATGTGCTTCTGTTTTTGTAGCATCTACTTTCATACGTTTACGTCTTCTAGGATGTTTTTTTACTGGCTGTTGACTTGATCGTTCTATTTCCTTGTGTAATGCAGTCTCTGAAAATATAAATCTTTATATTAAATACCAAATAGTTTCTTCACAAATTATAGTAATCTAGGCAATTAATCCTAAACACTAGCTTTGAATATATTAACAAAATACAGAGAATTCAAATTCATAAAATTCTGTTAACTATACCAAATCAGTTTATCATCAAATCTTACCAACAGAATTTTAATAATAATTCTGATTTTTTGAAATTTTTACAATGAATCTAACTTAATTTTTAATATTAATTTTTTACATCTTGTGTTTTCTCTTTTAGTAATTAATTTACAGTGGAAACTCAATTAACTGAAGTTGATGAAACCCTAGTCTTTCAGATAATCCAGAAATTCATTTATTTTTGTGTTTTGCATATATCTAGCACTGTGTATTTAACAATGTTTCACTTGATAAAGATCCTATAAGATTACAGGTATCCCTTGCTTAATGTGGGATTTGATTAATGCACAAAATTAATTGCTGCAATCCCTTTATACATGCAGCATAAGTTTTAATTTACATGGCTTTACCAGCAGTCTTTACTTAACATAGATACTATATTTTGATTAATGTGATTTCTGATATACAAAGTAGGATCGAGGGATTAATTAACTGCATTAATCAAGAGATACCTGATTAATGCAGTTAATGATTAAATTATAACACAGTTGAAAAATTCATCACTACCTGAACTTATTATTCTGTTTAGATATGTTTAGATACATAAATATTATTGCGTTACATATAACAATAGTAATAAGAAATGTTATTTCACATAAATAAGTCCTTTTCATTTTTGGAAACTAATCACCTTAAAATTCTCAAATAATTAACAAACTCACTAACAGATTTTGATAATACAAACAATTACTGGTACATGAGTATAACCAAATAATATGTTTGTAAACGAAGCACTGTATAATAGCCAGGGCTAGCCAGTGTGACACTATATGAAATAATCAGACATAGAAAAACAAGATAATAAACAGAAGGCATTTATAGCTTAAAATGTTGCCAAACGTTACTAGAAACATCTTGCATTGAAACTTAAAAATTGATAATTTTGGCACTGATCACATATTTTTGCTCTGCAAAGAAATTTACTTTTCTAACTTTACAACTTAAAGCACCTTTTCACAGACTGCACCATTATATATTTAGATGGTTCGCTTCAAAATAACATTTCTCATTTAATATAAAAATATTTTTATATGTATGAAAATTGCTTTATAAATTAAACATAGTGAAAGTTTTTTATGTTTAAAGTTTACAGAATTTTACTTACCTAAATCTGTACAGAAATCACTTAATCCTTGCATTGCACTTTTTTCTATAAGGGCTAAAATAAATAAAATTTTAATATTTATAACAAAAAACATATATAAAAAAATTTAACAAATAATATACATACATTTCACTAAACCCCAAACAGATTTTTTGTAGTGGACATAACCATGAACACGGAGACGCGAGTGACGATTTGAAACACGTGTGAGACAATAAAAAGATTTAACACTAAAAGTATCACTATATGGTATACCAGTATTCACAACATCACAGTCTATTATATACATGTGACCTGGTTTACTTTGTTTCAGCAAACGCTACAAAACAGATTTACATTAATTGAGCATCATGTAACACAAGAATTAATAATGATAAAATATTTAAATCAAAAATATTACCTGTGTTTCTGTAGTTTGAGCACTTTTGGCCATTGAATGATTTAAAGTAAGAGTATATGTAACTTGCCTCATTTTGTGACCAACATCCGGACACAACTGCCATAAACTTTCCATTATATCTGAAAAAATGTAATGTTCACATATCATTTTAAATAATCAAATTAACTACCATAAAATGGGACAACTTTGGCCAATTTTTTAAAGAAAACAGAATTAAAATTAATACACATGAAATTACAATTAATATAGTTTAAATAATAATAATAGCAACTCATCAGTATCTTACATTTGTGATAGAAAAGTTTTAATTTTTAAATCACTCAACTCATTTTCTTAAAAATTATGTGGTGGCCACAGTCACCTTTATGATAGGGTGAATATGTCCTGACTTTGAAAGTGCATTTTATGCTACATTTCACCTTCTATGAGTTGAATATAACCATAAAAACACATTTTTAAAGCTTAATATTTATTTACATTATTCTTTTCAAATTTAAAACTTTATAAACCATTAAAAACTATATAAAACAAAATTTAAAAATTCTTATTATTCAAAATATAATATTACAAATAGTATCAAAATAATTATTACAGACATTTTGATCACAAAGATATTACTGAAATTATTTTTCTCGTAACATTAACAAAAATATTTTTATCATAAAGATGGCATTTTTATCAAAATTTATCACATATACAAATTTTTAAAAATTGTATATGAAAAATTTTTATTACAAAATTATGAATATTTAAAATAAGAGATTGGCATTTTTTTACCAACACTTTTTTCATTTCAGAGATTGAAAATATCCCTCACTTGTTAAGAGTTTTTGGTTCTTGTATAACCTGAATTATATTTCTATTTTCATAGTAGTATATATCTTCCTTAGTAGGCCATTCCAATAAGAATTGTTGAGTATCACTGTGGTAACTATGGTACTTTTAGTCTACAATATTTCTCAGAGTATTACAATATTAGAGTCTCTCAATATTTTTCTTGGAAATTTTGAATCCTATTAGATCATCCATGTTAATAATGCAATCTGGTTCAATACCATCCAATATATGTGTGAAATTTTTGTGAAACTCTTCTGTAATTTCAGTAGAAGTTGTACCGCTTTCTGCCATGATATTAACAGATGTTCATATAGGTAGCTCCTTATTGCATTGTAAAAATTTTTTTATAAAATCATATCCAGGTAAATTATCTCTAAGCTGACATATTTTTGTTCCTTTATGTTCCAAACAATTCCAAATAATTCAGTTATTGTAATGGAAAATCCAAATTCTGATGTCATAAGCAGACAGTAACTAATGAGTTTCTCCTTTTTTGTGGTTGAAACTGTCTGACATCCTTGTTTCAAAGGACGGTTTCCACTAATTTTATTTTGTAAAGTTGTCCTTGCTTGCAACATTGAAGTAAGAACTACTTCCTTGTGACATTCTACAACATTTGGCAGCTTCAACTGTGACTTGTATTGTTTGTTTACTACAAACAGCGTATTATCTTGCCCACTTTAGGCATATAATGCCTTGACATTATTTCTAAAAATATGACAACATTGTTATAAACATAATATAATAATTCATTCATATAATACTCAAAACAATCAAAAACTAACTTTTTCTGTGGTCTGTTAATTACATCTTACTGCAGGTTACCATGACAGAAAACAGCACCATCTACAATCTTTTGATTGCAATATTTGAAGACAAGTTCGCCCATATAGGGATCATCATTTTTTACTTTTGCGTTACTACAGTACATTTCTGGCGACCGATCTTCCTTTCTAGGCTACTAGCCGCCAAGAAGTTTAAAAAAGTCCTTTTAAAAACACAAAAAGATATCCAATTAAAAACACAAAGATTTTCTAAAATCAGAACTGGTGTTATATGAACGTCTTTCTTGTTATCATCTGTACTTTCTCGGGGATGTTTCAGCCTTTTATCCACAGAGAAGAGAGCGCTGGAAAATGTAGATTAAAAAGGTTCCCCCTGGTGATGATATTTCACAGTCATAATTCGTAATTTTTTTGTCCAATGGTTCTTTTTATTTTCAAACAAAACAATTACGAATTATGACTATAAAATATTGCCACCAGGGGTAACCTTTTTAATCTACATTTTCCAGAGCTCTCTTCTCTGTGGATAAAAGGCCAAAACACCCGCTAGAAAGTACAGATGGTAACAAGAAAGATGTTCGTATAACACCAGTTCTGATTTTAGAAAATCTTTGTGTTTTTAATTGGATATCTTTTTGTTTTTAATAGGACTTTTTTAAACTTTTTGGCGGCTAGTAGCCTAGAAAGGAAGGTTGGTCGCCGGAAATGTATTGTCTAGAATGCAAGAGTAAAAAATGGTGATTCCTATATGGGAATTAAATATAACAAAAGTAAATATATAAAATTCCTGAGTTTTTGATAATGAACAAAAACTTTTTTGGTGTCCAGTGAAAGTGTATGTGAAATCACTCCTTCACACACACTTCCATTGATAAAGAAGAATATCAACATGTTTACAATAAAACTAGAATTGGCTTTAAAAATTTACCATAAGTCTTCCTTGATTCTAACAGATCATGGTAAAACTTTGAACCCGTAAATAATAGTGTAAATAACTGATCAACAGGTATAGGAAACACAGAATCCATAATTTCTTTCCCTTCGTGATTATGACCCGTACAGTGAATTTCTCCAGCTACAGAAAACAAAAAATCAATTAATACACAAAACTAAATCATTCTTATATGAAATGGATTTAATATATTCTAATTTGATTAAAAACAATTTCAATTAACAATATTTTGGGCAATATTTCAACAAAATTATTTAACTTACATATAAAACAGTTTTAATCATTTTAACTGATAATTGGTTGTCAACAAATCTTCATTTTATGAGTTTTTAATTGTGGAATCATGTTAAATTCATACAAATCTAATTAAATTTCAGTGTCAATTGAATAAAAATCAAATTTTCTGACAAATTAAGTTTTTGCAATCAATAATACAGTGGGTGATCGGTTAATGAACAGTTAGAATAATGAACACTTTTGCGAAAGATTTTTATGTTCAGACAATGAACACCTCACAGAACAAACACAGAAGTAGTGACATAAAATAACGAATATCGATTGGTCTTCTCTTGTCTTCAGACAACAATTCGAAACTTTTCGGAGCGCGGGAGATGCCAACGTTGACGCTTAACCTGATATATACTGATCAGATAGTATTCCTCCGAACTTTTAAGCTCTTCCTTGTAATTCCAGCCTTTTATTTTTCTAACAGAAACAATTCGTTTATAGTATTCGCGAGACTGTCAGGTGGGAATTCATTAAGTTTTGCGTTGGTTTTTATTTTCGAAAGGTGAGAGTATAATAGCAAAGATTGAGAGTGCCCAGGCAGAAGATGTTTGATGTTGCTGGGCTGTAAGGCTTGAACAGGTATACAGTAGGCCAGAGTTCAATCTTATCTAAGAAAGATATGTATAATCAAGAAGACTCAAGCAGCTAAAAAGTAACAAAAATCACACCTGAGAAATAAAGAACATTGAAGAGCTCATAATGGAATCTGAGACGAATCTGACAACAGAAGAATACCAAGAAACGCAGCAAAATACATTTTCTTCTGAAAAAGAGTATTAATGCCAATATCTGCTCTTAAACATCTTTTGAACAAGAGGGAGGATGTCAGAACAACAGTCTTAGAATGGCATCCAAACCAGGTTGAGGTTAATAGGCTTGGGAATCTCTACAATTACAATGCTATTAATTACTTCTGAAAAATCCTGAAGAAGAGAGAAAAGCAATCGACATTAGACAGATTCTTTAACCCCCACAAATGGAAAAACAACATGACTGATAAAAATGCAAGACTGTGTATATATGTATTTTTATTATTACATATAAATAAATATAATAAGAAAGTGCATATTTTTTATTTTTTGGGGTCTCCAGAACGAATTAATCAAATTCCCATAAAAACCTATGGTAAATCAATAATCGATTAACGAACAATTCAGATAGCAAACAAAGTCTTGGAACGGATTATGTTCATTAACTGATCACCCACTGTATAATTAATTGTGTGCATTTTCTTATTTAAATAGAAAAGTAAAAAATATATTACCACATCATTTCTCAACCTGTGGTCCAAGATAATGGGGCAAATGATCCACAAGCAGACTTTATATTAATAAAGATTAAAAGTTTGTTTAATGATAATTCACTTTTAGTAGTTTACTTCCAATTTATAATTAACAATTTCCATACATATTAAAAACATGCTTTTATCTTTATTATGCTATAAATGGCACAGTATGTCCCAAATGTTGGTAATATCTACATAAGTTTAAAAAAACTTATATAGCAAATTGAATTTTTTCAAACATTTTACTAGTTCTTGGGCTTAAAAAGTTGAGAAATACTATCTTACCATAATTTTCTGCAAACAACACACATGTTATCTGTGTTTTAAAATAAACTTTAAACTGGGTGCAAGTTAAGTGTCACTGCAGATTATTTACTGCTCATCAGTAAAGGCAAGATTGAAATGCTTGCCAGTGATCCTCCATACTCTAACATTAGATCATTCTATTACAGTGTTAAGCTTCTATTCTCAAACAGAAACAATAATCTGCATTATTCTTTTAACATTAATAAATTTAAACACTTATGCTAAATATTTAAATAAATTTTTTTTAAAATAAAATAGTTTTGTCAATATTAACTGCAGTTCTATCTACCAACTTTTAGTGCCAATCTCTGTTTTTATTTTACCATTACACCATGATGAAACAAAAACATAATTCTAACCATTCAGTTCATTACTTACAAGTTAGTGCCAATTATTGAGTTTCTCCAAAAACCTACCAATAAAAAAGAAGAGTAAACTTGAACATCCAACTGTTGGTAGATCTAAGAATTTTGACATATATAACACTGACACCACCATTTTGGCACTATGTATGGACTGCCAAATCATTTTTATCTGGGAGGCTTTGTTCACTGAAAAACTAAGGTCCTGCAACAAACCCACATTGAAGCTCTCAAGGCTATGACTCATGACCCAACATGTTAGAGTCCTCGGTCCATGTTTCAAGACGGGTAAGGTGGGTGACCAACCTACATGCCGCAGACCTCTAGCATCACTCAAGTGAGTACACCCAACACCGCCTGGTCTCGATGACCCAACCTCCAAGACCTTCAAAATTTGGACTCCTGACAAGATGCCTGCTGGGCCACACTATAAATCCTTAATTAAGTAATATGTAAAGATGACCACCACTTCTTCAATGTAATCCTTTTCATATGATAAAGTGGTGCTAATCTACCTTCTATGAAGTTGACTACTATGCATCATTCAATTCATCTTTTATGTTGAATTTACATTTCATAATCATGTTCCATCTAGAATAATCTAAGAATTTTATTTGCAAAGCCTAGGACAATGTAACTGCCATGAGGCAGGCTGCCATTTTTGTCACTGTTAATCTCCAGCCCCACCAGTCGACGTTGGTTGACCTTAAGAATGTTAAGTTGCCACCCTGGGACCCAGATACAAAATTAAAAGAAGCCATAATGCATAATGCAAGAAATAATAAAAGTTAATAAAAAGTATGTATTAAATAACTACCCAAATTTAATATATAAAAAATGATATAATCACTTTCTTCTTTACAGATATGATGTAAAAAATATAATAATCTATATGAAATTTCCTTAAATTAAAAGTATTTTTGAAAAATGTTCAAATAAAATATGCAAATCTAATATATGTATTACCCCTACATTATGCAATAAATTAAAATATACAGTTCTTAAAAATAACAGCACAAAAATAAAAAAGAAAAAACAAACAAAGCCATCATAGTTTATAGATTAAAATTTACATGTCAGTTCCCATATTATTATATAGGAGAAACAGGTAGAACTTTAGATAAAAGATTAAAAGAGTATGAAGCCACTATAAGTCTTAAATAGAAACAATCACCATGGTATTTATCATATATACAATACAGACAGGATGTATGATAGATAAAAATTATATAAAAAATTCTTACATCGTGAAAGTTTAAAGAATATTTAGAAATTTAAAAATTTTATGTGAAGAAAATACTTTAAATACTAGTGAAGGAATGCAAATTACCAAGAAATGGAATGGGCATTTCCTTCCAGTGATTGGATGTATAGTAGAGCATCGATTATCTGACCCCCGATTAACCGTCACATTGGTTAACCTACCATTCTAGTCGGCAAATTTCAAATGTCCGCTAGTGATGTGGCACTACAATATTTGGCTATATCTTGGCTACTTTAATATTATTTTTGTTAAATTTTTGCGTGTTTTAGCTGGCATCAATGACTCAACCTTAGAAGGGAGACCAGTATTTAAACGAGACTCAATTTTCTAATTATGAGTGGTTGTTTGTTTCACGAGCAATAAAATAATTTTAAAATAATTTTTAACGATACAATAGCGACGATTATTATTTTAAAAATATTTGTTAGGCTAAGCATAGATGAACATTCAACGCAAAGTCGGTTAATAGAGATATACTAATAAACTAATTACATGGGATATACTAATATCCTAATATACTATACTAATAATGTATTTTTTTCCTTCTCTTCGGTTATCCGATTTTTTCAGTTATCCGACCAACCTGTGTTCCCAATTGAGTCGGATAATCGATGCTCTACTGTAATTCTAGAAATGTATTAAACTGAATTTGTACAATAATGTTATAATGTAATGTTTGGTTTAAAGAGTGACAATTTGTTAAGTCAGTCCAAATCATTTTTGGTTTAACCCTTCGGTGGGCGCCCTCGCGGCAAATTACCGCAAAATAATAATAAATTCGTTTGTTTGATGTTGTACTTAATTATTGTGGAAATACGTCATAGTATTCTCTCTTCATATTACAAGTTACAATTTATCTTTGAAATCGGGTCAGTTATGCTAACCGTTTAGCTGTTACTGGACTTTGAATCAAGTCGTACCTAATTTGCGTTGTAACTGCCGCTATGCGCCCTGTCATGTAACTAAAATATCAGTATACGTTTATATATATGTGTTTAATTTTTTTAATAAAGTAAGTCAATATTTGCAAGTTTATTAAATAAATATATTAAATTAACACTATTGTAAGTTTCTATAAATTTTTAAATTTATATTAGTTTATATTTTTCAAAAATATAAGGGAAACAAAGAGCAATCCAAAGTAGCGGCAAAAACCTAGAATTTGTTTTATTTGTGGCATACTCAAAAACAATAGGAAAAAATCAATTTGTCAGAAATGAGTAGAAATATTTGCAAGAAGAATCGGAATATGGTGATTATATGTGCCATGTGTGAAAGTGAACATCTCATGAATATATAGTGACTATTTTTATTATCTAAATATTTTATAAACAATTTGTTCATTAAAATGCCGTAAAAATAGTTTTCTGGTATATCTGAATCATATTTTCAAAACGATAATTAATTATTGACTTAAATCAAGTAATATTACATATGCGGTGCAATTGCCGCGATGCGCCCTCTCGTGAGATCCTGAAAGGGGCGTTCCCCGAAGGGTTAAGGAGTTGCTATTCATTATCATTCACTTTTTAATGTATTTGTGTTCATATTTTGTTATGTATTTAAATATATGATTGCTGCAATACAATGTAAGGAACTTTTATTATATTTATACAATCTAAACAATTTTGTTTTCACATATATTTTAAATAATTTTACAGTTACAGAAGAGGGCTATAAAATGAAAAATTGGCCCAAAACGCATTTAACAATGTATGCAACCAAACAGATAAAATAAAGTTAAGATTTCTGTTTCTGTATCACTGAATTGCTGAGTGTTTCCACACATTTACAAAGGCAAAATTGCTGAGTTTAAAGAAATATTTAATATAAAGTATTAGTTTGTAATCCCAATAGTAAAGAATTAATTTCACATACTTAAGCATTAAAATTAGTTTATAGAAGTTTTATTTATTATTGACCAATTGATCTAAAATGCAGATTCAAATTTTTGGTGGCCCACCAGTGGCCAAGTAGTTCTGTTCCCTGAACATTGGAGTTCGGTCGTGGGTTCGCGCCTCACCAGGATGGGCTGGCCACATGGAGTTTTCCAGGTTTCTTGCACATCTGTAACATATGAATAGGGGCCAGATACTCTTAAAAAGACTTCCCAAAAGGCATCTCCCCTAGGCAGATTGCCCAAGTGTTACATTGCCATAACTTAACAAATGAACAAACAAACAAATTTTTGGTCCCATTTTCATTGATAAATGTGGTTGGTTATTTTGATGTAAAAAGAGATCAAATATTTCAAAATTAATAATAAATATAAACACAATACATCTATATAGGGGAGACTATCTGCTGTTTGACATGATAATTAACTTCTTCTTTTTATCTTATAGAATTATTGCAGAAATATTTGCATACATTGCCAAGGTGATCAGTTATTGGATGTGTTTCACGTGATAGCTAGGTGTACTAGTTTAGGAAAACTTTGTGAAAGTATTTTTTATGTTTATACTATTTCATTTGAAAAATTTTTGGAGCTTATTGTGGTCATTTGAGTAGAGTGACATATATTCTGATTTATTTTGCATATTGGAGCATTCGATTTTGCCTAGAGATGGTGTTAGTTTTTCCTTTAAATGTGTGTTCGTGGCTAAGAAATTTTGGGAGACTATCTGCTGTTTGACGTGATAATTAACTTATTTTTTTTTGTCTTATAAGTGGATGTAGTCAATTTTTTATGTAATTTGTTTTTTATTGTTTGGATAGTTCTCCCAACAAATTTTATGTTTTATGTTGATATTTTGTTTAAAATATTTTTGCTTAGTATTGGTATTGTATAATTTGTATTTTATTTATGTATATTCTGTTTTTTTTTTTTTTGTTCTCTGTATTAATTCATGTAGTATAATATTACTGTAGTTTGTATTGTTGTATGTATTCCCCACGTCATGGGTTTTCCCAGTATGTCTAAATAAATAAAAAGTAAAAAAATAATAAATACATCTATATACATTACTTACTCATTGTAATTTTAATTAATTAGCTACACAAGACACAACAGCAATGATTCATCAGCAATCAGTTATTGCAATCTATCATGCTATCAACATATAAAATATAAAATATGCACAAAATCTACGAAAATAATAAGATATGCTTTTTAGACTTAAATTAGTTAAATATGCTTTTATATTTTCCAAAGTAACAGGAGTTGTTTATTTATTTACTTTTTTATTTACTGAAGTAACTCCTGTTAATTCAGTAAATGAAAAAGTATATTTAAGTAACTTAACTGCTATTGCTTTACATGACTCCAACTCCTGTTATAATTTCAACAAGGGAAACCTGGGAGAAAATATTTTTTTTTTAACTAAGTTCTGCTCCTTAATAATAGTTATAACATACTAAACTAGACTTTTAATATGATAATAGACTTTTATATTTCCAGTAATATTTCTGGTAAAAAAAACTATAAATTTTTATGTATATTTTGGTAAATTTTGTCTATTTGTAAAAGTTATACACTATATCAATCTGGAACAAAATAAACTTATTTGTAAATTTGGTTATAAACTGATGATAAATAGAATAGATTACATCATCGTTGCTTCTAATTTTAAGCAATTTAAGTACAACTCATCTTCATTCATTTGATATGAAATTACTTAGATATTTAAAAAACAAAATAAAAGCTTCATAAAAGTAAAATTACCATCCAGTCCATCCATCTCAGATTCAGTAGTATCACTTAAATCAGTAGGATATTCTGATGATTTCTGCTTTCCTAATGATTCTTCCATATCTACAGATGGATTTTCTGTAATACATTCAGTGACCTCACAACTTTCTCCTGTACCCATCAAAGATTCCTAAAAATTAAAAAATAAATTTTATTTAAAATAATATCAAACATCTTCCATTTGCATGTATTTAAATATAAATAACATATAAAACTAAATTCAATAAAAATCTGCTAATTTCTTATATTGTTTGTGTTCAGATTTACATTCTTCTTTATCAGATGATATTTTATATACAAAATATAAGGAACAGAAAAACAGTAAGTTGAAAAATTGAACAATCTGAATTCTAGAGAAAGCTTTTTTCTATCAATAATTCAAATAGAACAACTTTTTAAAATATAACTTTGAAGTTTTACTTAATTTCATCTTATTTAGAAATTTAAAAATTTTGAAGTTTGATAACAATAACTTAATCTCTTTTTAAAACAATCATATGATTCAAATACAGATATCCCCCTGTACAACATGACTTCCGATTTCGCTCCAACATGGTTTCAGATATCCTCCATACAAAATTTCACAATTAAGTGTAAACTTTGTTATTCTACTTTTTTTTTTATTCAAGCAAGCACACATCATCTCAAATTTGCCCATGGATTTTAGAATATTGAAATTTTCAAATTATTTTGTGCTTTTGGTCAGATTTATTTTAATGAAAACTGATAGGACAAGGAAGAAAAAAATTGCACTAACTTTCCTATCAACCAGGTGTCATTGTTGACGCTTTCAGAATTTAGCTCTTAAAACTGTCTCTGTGGTTTCTTTTCATAGATTAATCTTTATATTTAGTAAAGTTTATTTAAACATTTTTAAGTAAGTTCTATTAAATATTTCTTTTAACTGTAGGTAAGCAATCATTCATAAAATGACAAACAAAATATGGTGGTATCTCAGTACTCAAACAACTCTGTATTCGAACAAAAAATTCTGGTAAATGTTGCTCAATACTTAACTGAACAAACACAACCTGCTAGAACAAATTATTGATTAATAACATATTTTTATTGTCATCCATAAAAAGTTTTTTATGATAAAAATAAAAATAAACCAGCAACAAGTTTCTCAACTTTCCTGGCAATATTTAAAATTTTGGTGGCACCATCTGTTATTTTATTTAAAAATCTTGTTATATTTTTAACTGTTATAAAACAACATAAAGCTTAATTTTGAGGATAGTGACAGGCTTTATAAAAATTGTAAATGCTAATAATGAGTAAAATTATCATTAAGTCTGACCCTACTGGAGATACACACAACCCCATTATCTCCCCACCCTCTCAACCTGTAACCATTAAAATTTAATAACATCGATCCCCTAATACATGTACCTCCATGCAAAATTTCAAAGATTTTTCACAAAAAGCAAGCACAGGAGTCACTAAGCTTCAAAGAAAATGAACAAATTGTGCCTCTCACACAAACATCACATCCACACATACAGAAATTACTCCCAAATGCTCAAATTTTTTGCATTTCTCTCCATTTCAAGGTGTCCTGAGTACAAAAATGTAAAAATCTTGGGTCGTTTTTTGACCAATTGCCATACCTTTCCTGTTATAACAGCCAGGAAAGTAATATGAAAATGTTGCTGATACTTCTGATAAAGATCAACAAAATAGCTGAGATGATAACGATACTTTGTGAAAAGAAATGCTCTCGTTTAACTAAAATTAATATTAATGCATAATACAGTACTTTTAATTGTGATTGTTAATTAATTATTGATTGAAAATAAATTATCTATTGCTTTAATAAACATATTTCCCTTAGTAATGAAAAGAATAGTATACTTTTGCTAACTTCTGGAACATAACCCTATATTTTGCATTAATCCTTTGTTTTGTATAGCACCAATTCGTATAACTCTGCACTTTTTTGGAATGTAACTACCCTGTTATACAAGGGATACTTGTATATCTATTTATAAACTACAATTGTTATAAATATATATATTTTCTAAATATTTTGTAACTTATGATATTGTCTACAGTCAAATTCATAAATTTATCTTACCATTCTTTCTTTAATAATTAAAATCAGATCTATTTAAAGTTTTATGAAGACTATTTATATTTTTAACTATATTTTATGTTATTTAACATTTCTTAAGTCTATTATACTATTAATAAAAATAATCTAATTATAAATATTAAAATACAAAATAATTGACAAAAAATGAACATATTTACATATCAATTTACATACAGTAGACCCCCTATAACATGGTAGATAATTCCGTGTTATATGAATTCCGTGCTGTACGAGTCACTTAGATTTTACAAATACATGAGCCATTCACAGCCTGGCACACATATTTGTAAAAACTAAGTGACTCGCACAACATGGAATTCATATAACACAGAATTATCTACCACGTTATAGGGGGTCTACTGTATTGCTATACATTTACATATCAATATAATTACTAAAAGACAACCTCTGAGCAGTTAAAAGCTTTTAATGCAAAAGAACATTTTCTGCCATGTAAATGGTCATCTTTAGGTTACACAGTTCAAACAAATATAAAAGACAAATTCTAGAACAATGGTTCCCAATTAGTTTTTCCTGTGTACCACTTCAAGAAAGAGCTCAAACTTGCGTACCCCTTATAGCAGAAATTCATATTAATCCCATTTATAATATTCACACTAATATTATAAATTCGAAGGTAATTCTGTCTGTTACCTTTTCACATCTAAACCACTAAACAGGTTTTAATAAAATTTGGCACAGAGATAGCTTACAGGTTGGAGATGGACATGGGCTACATTTTACTGTGAGAAAATATCTTACTCCCACAAGAAAATTTGATATAATGCATGCAAAGCTATGGGTAAACAGCTAGTGATAAATAGAATAAGTTTTTTTTTTACATTTATTACATTTAAAATACAATTCTAATAATAATGAAAATATCATAAGGTTATTTAATTTTAATGTGACAAATGTGCACGATTTTCTTTGCCCAACTTTGTAAAATCTGGTTGCTTTTTGGTCAGCTTCAGCCTCAAGTCATCTTCAAGTTGAAGTCAGTGACAGTAGTTTTCATGTTTGTCATGGCCAAAAATCCGCTCTCACAGAGGTATGTTGTGCAAAATGGTAGTATATATTTTATTGCCACTTCGCTGACAAGATGATGATAAAAATTGTACAATTAACACAATTTGTGTTAATTGTACAATTATCATTTCTTGCGTAAGAATTTCATTTAGGTATTGTCACAAATGCATTTTTTTGATAAAATTTCGAGAATATTTTTAGTTATAAATAAACGAATTTGTGCATTCGACATCATATTGTAAATTGCCGAATTTTTGATGGTCCACCCATTATTTTTTTGATTGCTTCATCTCATGCATTTAAATTTTAAATCAACCAATTTTAGACTGCTGTGCATACCTCTTCACATAATTTCGCATACTCCCAGGGGTACGCATACCACTAATTGGGAATCATTGTTCTAGAATATATGAATAATACATATATCATCATCATCATCGTCGTCGTCGTCTTCAGCTTATTCTACCATTTCCAATTATGGTGTAGCTTGCCTTATATACGCGTCTTCCATTTGTGCTCACGCTTGTCTATCATTTGCTTCTCTCCACCTTGTTGTGCCTGCTTGTTTCCTTGTCATAATCCCATCTTAAGTTTTGATGTCTTCTGGGTCTCTTGATTCCTCGTGGATACCACCTTGTAATTCTCACGGATCATCTGTTGTCAGTCCTTCTTGCCCGATGTCCTGCCCATTGCCATTTGAGAGACTTAATTCTGTGGATTACATCAGTTACCTGGGTTTTCTGCCTAATCCACTCTATTCTTTTGTGATCTCTCTTTGTTATTCCTAGCATGCACCGCTCTATTGATCTTTGGACAACTTGGAGCTTCAATGTTATTTCTTTCTTTAGTGTCCAAGTTTAACATCCGTAATTCATGACTGGTAATACGCATTGATCAAACACTCTCTTCTTCAGGTGGATTGGCATTCTGGACATGAAGATTACAGAATTTCATCCAAATGTAGACCATGCTAGTTTGATCCTCCTATTGATTTCTGGAAGTAGTGAACCAGATTTGGGTATTACTTGTCCCAGGTATATATATTCATCTACCATTTCTAGTGTGATGTCATTTATTATTATGTCTTGACTGTCTACCAGTTCATTGTACAGTATATGATTTTTGTTTTTGCCAAGTTCATGTTAAGGACAATTTCATTGCTAACTTCATTTAAATCACTGATTTCTTCTTGTAGTTCTGCAAGATCTTTTGCTATTAGGATGATATCATCAACGAATCTTAGATGGTTGAGGTGTTCTCTATCTATAGATATACCTTTGTTCTTCTGGTTTATTTTATGGAATACGTTTCCTAGGGTTTCCATGAAGAGCTTGGGTGATATTGAGTCTCTTTATCAAATGCCTTTGGCTGTGGAAAATTCTGGAGTGTCATCATATATATATCCAAACAAAAATATGTGGGATGTAAAAGAAATTACTCCAAGTAAAAATTTATGACAATTTAGATGGCTGTCAAAATTTTTCTTAGCAGTTTTTCTTTGATAAAAGATAAGCTTGGCATTCAGAAGCAAAATGTAGAAAACAATAATATGGGAAAAAATCTTGTGGGTACCACTTCCAAGTGCCAAGTTGCCAAATGCAGTGCCAACCAATGTGCCACCAATCAACGTTTTCAATATGCTGTTTAGAAAAATCATTATAAAAAGTTTTAATTTGCATAAATTTGAGCTTTTGTAATTCTGAGTAACATTTTCAATAAAATTCATTTGTTTCCAAGCAATTTTATCTTTATAAGCATAAAATTAAGCTATAAAACTAAATTAGCTCTATGGGGAAACTCCCATAAACTTTAACCTAGCAATGCAGAAGTTTGGCCAGCACATCACTGATAATGAGAAAGGCTAAGTTTAAAACCTGAGCTTTCTAGAGTCAGTAGTTTTTCCTCTATGAATGTCTGCAGTACTGGCTGAAACAGGCCCATCTTTAGGTGTGGGCCTACCAGGCCTGGGCCCAGGGGCCTCCAGATATTGGGGCCTCCTAATATTT